AGATTTTTTAATGGCACATGTAAGTCATATAACATTGATGTAATAAATTCTATATTATTAATTAAATAGGAGAATAATAAGTAGAGATCAAAAGTCTTGATCTAGAGATCAAAAATTCCTCAAAATTATGACGTTATAAAACAATATTTTTAAATAGTATTCAGCGATCAACAAAACATGGAAAATAATTTTCGGTTTCATGCATTTCTTTGTCTAATTGTAATTACTTTGTGTTTCAGCATTGCTAATATATTTGCATTTTAAATATGCATTTTAAATATGCATTCTAAATGTAAATACGAACGTCATGTCTTTTAAATAATGCGTACCGCAAACCTCATTCTGATTCTCAAATGTCACGAATATATTTGAGTATCTATGAACACGCGTTGACAAACTTGACCATGAAGTATGTTGTACTTTCCTTATAACTTAATCGTCAATTTTGTATAATTTTCGAGATACAAGTAATAAAATATTTTATAATACTATTTATAAAACTGTACGAAACTACCAATTAAATAATAATAAGGAAAAAATAGCACTAGTTAAAAAAATGTTTTTTTTTTTAATTATTTTGAATTAGATAAAGTATTTTTTAGATTTTTGAATACTAAAAACGATGCCGCAAGTTAAATTTCATCAGCACGTTAGATTCCCGAAACAATTGAAGTTTAAAATGCAAAAAAATAATTTTTTTGCGTTACGTCATTTTGTAAAAAAAATTAACATTATCTTAAAATTTTGATCAGAGATCATGAATGTATTGTTTATCTCCTTTAAAATGTACTTATAATTTTTTATTAATTTCACTGTCTTACTTTTTAGTTTTTAGCCATGAACGATTCAATACAAAGTTTTTCCAAGATAATCAATTTTTCGTCTATAAATGGACTCACTCATTATTATTAGTTTATGACTATTGACATAGTGTAATTTATCGTCATAGATACCGCTAAATATACATGTATCAGCAGGGCTGAGCATGTACTTGAAATACTTTTATTTAAAATATACTATTAGCAATACAAGCGTATTTTGTATTTCTTATTTCAGTGGATCACATAAAAATATTACGTATTTTATATTTAAAATCGAAAAATTGAAAGCTTTTTGTAATTCAAATAATAAGGCTGATTATCAATGTTAATATTTGAAATACAAAATACAAAATACTTTCAATCTTTTGTTATTAATACTGAAATATAAAATACAAAATACTTTTATATGCTCTCATGAAATACAAAATATAAAATATTTTCATATATTCCGAACAAACACAAAATATAAAATTGTCTTACCGATAGTGTTTTTCAAATAAAAGTTTTCAAATACATATCAGCCCTGCATGTATATACATATCGCCGATAAATAAAGTCACTTATAATTATTAGTTTGACCATTGATACATAATGTAATTTATCCTCATAAATATGCATACGTTGAGAATATGCATATGTATATAATACATATGTATACGAAGTCTCATTTTAATTCTCTACGTCGAATATTTAAAAAACGGTTTTCTAGAAAAAAAAATGTTTCAAACAAAAGTTGTATTTGTGAATGTATATTGATAATTACAAATTAGAAATTGTGTATGACTTCATTGTTATGAACGGAAAATTTTTACTATCTTAGAAAAGCCTTATATTTAAATCCTTCATATAACTAAAAAAAAATTGAAATAAAGAAAAAGCATTTTATAAAGCATTTTATATAGAATAAACAATATATTTATGACTTTTAATTAGATTTTTAAGATAATGTTAACTATTTTTACAAAAAAATGTCAAATCATTAACAAAATTATCGTCAAAAAAATTATATTTTGGGCAATAAACCTTAAACCTACCTTAGAAACCTGACGTGCTGGAATTTTTTGGCTTGCAACATTGTTTTCAGTATTTCAAAATATATATAAAACTAGTCCAGAGTTTGAAGTAAGTTTTTTATTGTAAACTAGTACAATTAATACTCTCACCTTGATATTGTATTATTTATATAGTTTCAATATTTATAAAACACAATTTAGCATGTTATAAAGCACGCTGATATCATATGAGCTCGGTAAAAAACAAATACTATTTATTAATTATTTAGTTTATTTTAGAAAAAAACACTAATTTTTGTAGGATGAATTCTCTATAAATATATAAAATTTATAAATATTGTCATAATAAAACAAAATGTAATAATAATTAAGTTAATTTTTAGTAAAATGTTATATTTTAGTAAAATTCTAGTAAAATGCATGTAAATACACGTAATGACATCAAAATACATCAGAAACAAATGCAAATTATTTTTAAGAATGTTTTTTAGTATCTATTTTTTAAATATTAAGAATTTAACAAAAATTTCACTGGTTGTTCTATTATTATCTTTCTATTATTATTTTTAAGTATGTATATAAAATTTAAGCACAAATTTTTTTATTGATTTAAAAGTTATATAATTTTTTATTTGCTATTCAAATCTTTAAATGTTATTAACTGGTGACTGATATTTTTTTAATTAGCTGATATAAGCTATTTCTGGCTAATATCAATTATTTTAATTAATTATTCAGTTGATACTTTTAATTAATATTACAAAACATTTTTATATTTTGATTGATATTGTAAAAAATTTTCATAAAATTTCAAACCAATAAGATTTTAAATACATTGCGAATAAATTTTCAATCTTATAGTGTTAAATATAAAAATGTTTATTACAATGCGTATAATATATATGTATACATACAATAATAACAAAATTAAAATTGCTCTTTGATTTTTTAATATTTTTCTCATTTATTATAACATAATTCGAAAGTTGTCATTTTTAATTGCTTGCAAAAAAAGAACGGAAATAGAAAAAAAATATGCAAATGTTTAAATTTCCATCTCATAAATAATTCAATAAATATTTTAAAGCTCAATGAAACATTTACTTAACACTTGAGCAAACTTCTTATATAAACTTTCAATGAACATACTTATACAAACTTTCAATAAACATATTTCATTAGGTTTACGTGTTATCAACTGAGGATATATAAATTATAGAGTTGCTCGAATAGTTCACATTGCATAGTGAGGCAAAGTTTCTTCTACTATACAGCAGTCTACTTTTATTGCTTTGAAAAATATAAACAAAAAGGTATAAAAATATACAATCACAAGAAAATACATCGAGATGATACAAGCTAATTTTCGGAAGTAAAAAAATTCTTTCCGTGCATCTTCTGGAAATGAAAGAATGTTACAATTTTGGTTATGTTCATATAGTAATGTATTGTAAATTTTGTATTGACACATTTTATTTATATCTAATTTATAGTACCTCCGAATTTATATTAAACATATCTAAATCCTTAATATTTTGTTTTGAGAGACACATTGTTTTGACAAATATTTAATTGCTGGATATATTAATGAAATTTAATTTTTTTATTAATGCATGCATTTCATTTAGCTGATTCTTATTTTCTTGATATGTTTCTTCTCGATTAATTAGATATTTAAAATTATTACATAGATATAAAATTATATAATTTTCCACAAAAAGAATATTTTTAATTGAATGAAGAATATAAAGTCTATATAAAAAAAACTCGTTATAATGAATATCAGTAGTACACATTTAATTAATATAACTAAACTGGAAATTTATAAATATAACTATTATGAACTACTATTGCTCTTATGTACCGTCCAATTAGAATTAAAGAATTAAAGAATTGAGAGCCATTTGAAGAATTGACATTGTTTTAATTAAAAAAAAAATCAGTTGAAGCGGAAGAACATTTTCGGAACACTAAAGAAGAATTGCTTTCTTCGTTCGGCAAATTTGGTATGATTACAGAGAAAGCAAGTGAAAGTTTTTTTGGGTGGCGGTATTTAACGTTAGAGAACGGTATTCAACCGAAAACACTTCCGAATCATCCATCAACTCGTACGTTTATCTCGAGTCGTACAGATTGATCAGTTAAATTTTTGTCTCTATTGTGTCCGATGGTGACAGCGAGATACAAATCTCGGATCTAGTGAAAGATTGCTACTTTATGATATTTATGGTGTTTACATAGTGAATTTACCCTGTTCTGTGCAACACGTGACGCGTAGACCGTACAGGTACGACTTCCATAATGGATCGTGAATGGAAATAATACTTAGAAATAAAAATATTCATCTTGAAAATAGAAAGAAAAATATAAGATTTTATTGGGAAACTCTCACATTTTGTACGCAAAATTTTTTTCTTCACTATTAAATTCATAACATCAAATTATACTTAATTTGAGTTATTTTTAATAATTTTTATAGTTCACCATTATTTCCACACTCATTATGTCGTTAACTAATCATTTAACTAATTAAAGCAATACTGGTTTTAAGCAATTTAAGAAAATATATAAAATATATTGACTCAAATTTAATTTATTATTTGTGCATATATTATATTAATATAGACGTTATTTACTTCAAAATCAAGCAATTCAATCACAGAAATTGATTTACGTTTTATATATTGATTACGTTTTATTAATATACATTAGTAATACGTTTGCTGCTCATGATTAGCTGTTACGAGCAAGACACACTGTAATATGTAAAGTATTAAAAAAGTTCGACAATTGTCTTCTGACTGAACTTTATTCAACGATGAGACAGGCAAGCTTATAGACTAAATCGGAGATATATTATTAGCAGCTTATGAAAACAGACTGACTCGATCAGAGAACTAGAGGGATCTTCACTACGATAAAAGAGGTGGAAATTCCGATAAATTTTAACAATAACATGACATTTTCGAATATCAAAAACATGCGTGATGGGAGTGAAAAAAATTGAGATGTGTGAGAGTCGATAACTTACGAATCGTTTAGGGATAAGTCATAAGATATCTATAAGACTGAATAATCAAGAGGCTTAAGAATTGAAAAAAGGACTAAAAACGATAGGTGAAAGCAAATAAGATAAGTAACAGGAAACAAGATTTTTAGAAAAAATGTTTAGAAAAAAATGTGGAGAATATACTAAAAACGTGACATAGCACATAACACAACACGATAAATTTATTATTTCAACAGTTTTCACGTTTTAGTAAATTTAGTTATAGTGAGCAAGCCAATTGGGCTTCAAATGTGAAACTATACAGTTGTGGTACAAAGACATCATTTTGTATTATTCAATTTTGGTTCGCATTTTTTGAACTTAGTTTTTATTGCAGACGGTAAATAATTTTTGAAATTGGCTTAATTCCCAGAGATCTTTTCAGATGGGCAGTAAACGTGTTAAAAATAACGAAATGTTATTTAATTTCAGGATGATTAATTAAATGTTATTTAATTCCAGGATCATTGATATTTAACAAAGTTTTGCTACCAAGCATTTCCGCACTAGCTCTTTCTAAGTAGAATCATTAAGTGAATGAAATTTAGGTCAAGATAAAATAATCTTGATAATAAAACTTATTATTATACTGAGAAGAAAATGTTGATTCAATTAAAGTTTATATTACTGACTGTCACTAACATAAGTAATTAATTCATGTATATTTTTATTGACATAAACGTTTTGATTATTGAAATAATTTATGCCTTTATGTCAATAAAAATATACATGAATTAATTACTTATGTTAGTGACAGTCCGTAATATAGACTTTAATTGAATCAACAGCATTTTTTTCTCAATGTATTATAAAATTTATAGCATTATGTGACGGTATAGTTATATAAAAATCGTTCGCAAGGTAGCGATTTACTACATAATTTTAACTTTAATGACGTCAAATTCAAAGCCGTATTTCAATATCCCTTCATTATTTTCATATTATGAATATTAATTAAAACGGATTTTTCAACTCGTTGATTACAGCGCGATTGGCGTCGCGTACTCTTGAATTTAGAAAATATGGACACATCAGAATTCGTACAATTTGCCAAAGCCACTATAGACTACGTTGCGGATTATACTGATACTGTGAGAAGTAGAAACGTATTGCCGGATGTGGAGCCGGGTTATCTCAGCAAGTTACTTCCAAAAGAAGCACCGCAAAAATCGGAAAAATGGCAAGAAGTTCTCAAAGATGTGGAAAAATATATTATGCCAGGGGTAAATTTTTAATTCTTTAAAAATTTTTTTTTATTATAAAATATTATTATATATATGTATCGCATAAAAACTTGTAATTGTAAATTTTAATGTTTAATAGAGTTGTATTAAAATTAATAAAAATGTAATCTACCCAGATATTCCAGATAAATAAAGAGAAAAAAATTAATTTTTTAAAAATATATATATAATTAGAAATAATATACCTATTAAAAGTACTATAATTAGAAAAAAATAAAATTTAATAAATAAAGAATAAATACTATTATTTTGTACTACATAAAAACTAATACTTTTATTTTTATTGCTTCTTTTGCAATTTGTCTTTTCACTTTATAATTTATTTTGCGGTATTAAATAAATTTTCTCTAAATTTATAGAAAAAAATCCCTTCATATTTTATATTTTAAAGAAAAAAAGATAAATTTTATCATTTTCATCAATATGTGCAGGTGACACATTGGAGCTCGCCATACTTTCATGCATATTTCCCATCGGGTAATTCTTTTCCTTCACTCGTCGCTGATATTGTGAGCAGCGCGATTGGGTGTATCGGTTTCAGCTGGATAGCATCTCCAGCTTGTACCGAGCTCGAAGTCATTACATGCAATTGGCTTGGGCAGATGTTAGGACTTCCTAGCGAGTTTTTGCATAGTAGCAATGGAACAGGTGGTGGAATCATCCAGGTAATAACAATTATACATATGATTACTTATACGTAATGATAGATTCTGCAACTTTTTTCAACAAAATGCATAGAATTGCAATATATTTTCAATCTAATGCGAAACTATACATTTTCGGAGTTTTCGAAAATTATAGCAAAAATGACGGACAAACGGGACCTCTCATGCAGCGAGAATCATATATATATATATATATCTTTAAATCAACGTATTAATTTTTATTAATATACCGTGAAAAAGATAATAATGTTCAACTCTACTATAAGAAAAAATTCTATTTATATCTATTTCTATAAAAAAATCTATTTATAAAAATCTATCTATTTTTAAATAAATATTCACAATATTTTAATAATAGATATAAAAAATGTTATTGTGAAACACAAGTTGCTTGTAACCTTTTGAGAAATCAATAAAGTATCTATCTATCAATAAATTATATTTCAAATCATAATTTATAAATAAAATTTTTTTTATAAATAAAATTTGTAACATTTTAACATTATATTTCTTATATGTTATGTAATCTCACCAAAAAATTATTATATACACATATATTTTAATTAAATTTTTGTATACACGTATTTTCAATTTAATCTTACTTTGTATATCTTAATCTTATCAACATATTATTATACATAAATTACTACTACTATGTGTACTACTAATATGTTTCAATATATTTAATATTGTATACGTTAATATTCAAAAATTTAATCATATTTTAATTCATCTCATTAATTCGTCTCATTAATTTCAGGGATCTGCCAGTGAATGTACATTCATATGTTTATTAGCTGCGAAAGATCGCACAGTGCGTCGAATGAAACAACTTCATCCAGAACTAGATGAGGATCGCATCAGAGCTAAACTAGTCGCATATACTTCCAGTAAGTATTAATGAAAATAAAAGAATTTTGAGATACAAAAATGTACGTGTTACATAATATAATATTGTAAGTCTAATATAAATTCGCGTATTATATTGATTTATGTCCTACAGATTAAGTGTACAGATTATGTTTCTACCAATCCTATGTCGAATATTTGTATAAATATGTTTTTTTTTTACACATTTAGATCAATCTAATTCTTCAGTAGAGAAGGCAGGAATTCTAGGATCAATGCCAATGAGGTTGCTGCCAGTGGATGATAAGTGCTCTCTGCGCGGAGAAACTTTAAAAAAAGCGATGCAGGAAGATATGGAGAAAGGCCTTATACCGTGTTACGTCGTCGCTACTTTAGGAACTACTAGTACCTGTGCCTTCGACAATATGGAGGAGATAGGACTAATATGCAAAGAATATGATATGTGGTTGCACATTGACGCAGCTTACGCGGGTAGATAATCATTTATCTCTTTTTTTATTAGCTTATTTTAACTTTATCTTTTCGTCTTATATATTTTTTTGTTACAATGTATTACGTCAATCAAATTAAAATTCATAAGAAATATTGGACTTGTATTATTTAATTAATTATCGGCTAAGTTTGCAGTGTGTGTTATTCATATTTATATAATATAATAACAAAATTTATTTCATTTATTTAATTAATATAATAATATTGATTTAGGTGCAGCATTTATTTGTCCGGAATTTAGATATTTGATGTCTGGCATTCAGTATGTGGATTCTTTTAATGTAAACGTGCATAAATGGTTGCTTACGAATTTTGATGCTTCGGTAATGTGGTATGTATCAATAATATTGCTAACACTAGTAATATTACAAATAAAAATAATTTAATCAAATTATTTAAGTAAATTTGTCTTTTTTCTTGCCATATTTCTCATGTAAAAAATATATAAATACTAATTTTAACTTTTAAATGTGTCTTTTGTATACTCTTTCTAATAAAAAAATTTACATAATAGATATAGAATTTAGGTAATTTATAAAATATTTAATTTAAATTATTATATGAAAATTTAAGAAAATAAAATTTAAACAAGCTATCGTATTAAATAAAAATAAGTTTACTTACGTAAAATAAAAATTTATAAATAGAAATTACGGTAATATTTTATAGAATAATATTAATATTTATATAAACTATATTTGTGTGTATTCTTACTTTTAGGGTAAAAGACTCAAGACGCCTTGTAGAAACATTCAGTGTTAACAGAATATATCTATCACATGATAAAGAAGGATTGGTACCAGATTACAGAGTAAGACTTTATACATTTTTTTTACTAGCATAATATCCTTGTTTTAATAGACTTTTTAATAAATTAAAAATGTAATTAAAAATATTAAAGTATCATTAGATGTATGTAACTAAAAATGTTCTTAATTTTTCTTAAATTTTTCGTATACAGAACTGGCAGATACCGTTGGGCCGACGTTTTCGTTCTTTAAAATTGTGGTTTGTCATGCGCATTTATGGAGTACAAGGTCTTCAGGAGTATATTAGAAATCACGTAAAACTAGCGCATCTTTTCGAAACATACGTCAGATCGGACGATAGGTTTGAAATAACCACTGAAGTCATTTTAGGTCTTGTCTGCTTTCGTATCAAGGTACACATATTTTTTTTCTGCAAGTTCTTTTTCAAGTTTACAAATTAAAAATTAGCTTTAATAATAGATAATTTCTTTTTTTTTTGTAAATTTCTATCTTAATTAAATAAATTTATTTCTATTTAACTCGAATAATTAATTAATCATGTATGTTTAATTTTTAATATTCGAATCTCTTTCTGATTAGTGATACATCTTTAATTATAAATTAATCATGTTATTTCGAATATTTCTATATTTCCAAAATTATTTCTTTTTTCAGGGTGATAACAGTTTAACAAAGGAACTCTTAGATCGTCTGCAGGCTAGGAAAAAAGTTTATCTCATCGCTGGCACGCATCATCATAAACTTGTTGCTAGATTCGTCGTTTGCAGCCGATTATGTCGGGAAGAAGACATTGCTACCTCATGGAATGAAATACGCAGTCAGACGACAGAAATTTTGCGAACAAAATTTAATAAAGAATCGGTTAAGAATGGCATAAAATCGGATGATATTGCAACAAGAATAGAAAGTTTAAACTTAGAGTCAAAGAAAAATATGCAAAAAATATCATAACTAATCTTTCCTCCATAAAATTTCGCGATCGATTAATTATATTATGTATTATTATTTTTTATGGCTTCACAAATTCTTAATAGTAAATTAAGAATTTTTATGTCTTAATTATGCAGAATCTATATCAATTACGTAGTATCTTAATAGCGTGTAATATCTAAAGATTGATTATTATTTTTTAATATTTCTATTGGCGGTTCTTCATTATATATTTTACATTTTAGCATTTTACTTATTTTATACGTGTATAATTGTCATGATAAAGAGTGCACTTATATATTCAATGTAGATATTTGTAGAATGTGAAACTGTAGAGGAAATCAGTTTTTGAATGTGCGGTCCACTTACGCCCGTTTCTACCAATGCAGTTTAGTTTTATAATCTGAGTTCAATTAATTCTTCATCTTTTTTTATAGTTCAAAGAATTAGAAAAAGATGAAGAGTAAGTTGGATCGAGATTATAAAGTTAATCTACATTAGTAGAAACGGGCATTAATTCTACAAATTCTTCAAAGCATTTGATTGACGAACCAGAAGAAAGAATGTTATTAATTGACCAATCAAATAATGCCTTAAAGCATTTGTAGCTTCAAGTGGTGCTTTTGTTGCTATTATCAATCTTTGGTAAAATTAGAATTTTTAATTCAGATTTTAAAAATCAGATATATGTATGAAAGAATTCTGCGCTATATTTTTTGCTTGTAGGTTTATATCTCAAGTAACATTTACATTACAAAGAAACAATACAATTACAAAAAAAAACGCATGTATTATATGCCCTTTGAAATACGATTATCATCGTATTTACGTTATCATAGAAATGCGCGCGCTGGCCACGTCAAATTATAAGATCATATAATCAATCATCAATATTTTTGCAAATAATTTTGCAAAAAATTGCATCACAACAATCTTGATCTCGTTTGAAAACTAAAAATCTAGTGTATCTATAAATAAGAATATAAGACAACAAGTTTCTATAACTGCTTACTTCACTGCCATGTTAAGCAATATTCCGATAGAGGCTCTTATTTTTTAGATACCTATTTATGCACGCACACATGCACACACGCACGCACGTACACACCACAGTATGCATATATGTATATGCATAAATGTTGACAACAAGGACAGCTTGAAAAACACATTTATCTCTTACTATCATATACAAAATAATCATAAAGTGAGCAGCTAGTTATAGAAATCTGTGTAAGATTCGCTTAACTCGAACGATTAGTTGGCAAAAAATATCGTCGATTTATTAAGAATAAAATTAATTTTGCTTCTTGAAGTCTTGATTAAAATATTTTTTAGACCATTATTTAATCATTGATAGGCATCTTCGTATAAAAATCATCGTTTCTTTAGATTATAATATCTCAATTCAAAAAATTATAATTTAAAATTGCATTAAAAATGCTCTCGCATTTATAATAATATCAAATAAAACTTTATTATCTTTTATTAAGAAATGATTAATATTAATATTATTTATTTGATGCTTTTATAGCAGAATAGAAATTTAACTATTTATGATAAATTAATTTAAATAGTTTTTGTTGAACAAATTGTCTAAAAATAACAAAACTGCGAAAAAGGATTTAATTATAGTTTTCTTTTCTATCAAAGATTGATATATATATATATAAAGTATTTACCATATTATTTCCTGACATTGCCCAATATTTCTGTAATCTCCTCTTCCTCATTTAATCGTCTGTTATTGTTTCTTTATGACATTCATATAATTTCCATCAGTGAAAATTCTCAAATTGTGACATCAGAACAAGGAAACACAGTAAAAATTTCTGCAAATTATATTTGAATTAGAAATATATGTATATATTTTGCCAAATATCGTTGTAGTTATTATGTATATTTTATCTAAATTAGATTTTACAATTTTCTTTATAAATAAAATAATATCTTTAGATTTTAAAGTCCTCTTTTCTTCAGTTCTAAAATGCAATAAGTGCAGTAAGTCTTAAAAATTGACTAATCATAGTCGAATATTCTTTACAATCGATTGTGATTAATAAATTTCTTAAGATTTAAGGCTTGTTGCATCTATTTACACATTATATTGTAAAATGGAATTCGGCTTAAAATCGAGATAACTTTGACACAAATTTTGACAAAGCTTAAACAACACACGTCAAAATCTAGACATAAAAAATCTTAAAAACGTCTTAAGTCCGATTTCACAATATATGATTAGCTAAAGATTAAAGGTAACCAAGAAATTCATGAATGAATTTTATTGAAAAATCTGTTAGTAACTTTTAATCTTTAGGTAACTATATATTGTAAAAATGGGCCTTAAAGACGTTTTGATTTCGAATATGCATGCTGCCTATAGACATTTTTCAAAATTTGAACAAAAAATGTCTCGACTAAAGTTATCTCATTTTATGGTACATTCTTTCACATTTTTATTATTTACATTATTTTGTATATAATTTATTTTACATTATATGTAACACATTACCGCAAGAATTAAATTATTAAAATTAAAAATTCCATTATTAAAATTACAAATATAACATAATACAACAAGAATACATGCAAAATTTATTTGTGATGTAGAATTACACACAAAACATTATGTGCATATAATACAATTTTGTCACGATACAATGTGAAATATGTGAATATAATTATCAACAAATGATTATTACGTAACGATTCTTATTGAGCACAGCAATTGCAAAGTTTAATCTGTTTAAGCCCAGTTGCACCAACGTTACTTTAATTTTAAGTGAGGCTTAAAACTTTCTGTGTTCCCTATCTCTTTTCGGTTTTAAAACGAGATAGAGAAAGTTTTAAGTTTCGCTTAAAATCAAAGTAACGTTGGTGCAACCGGGCCTTAGTGCTGCTTGTTTAATTTACACGAGCAACCGCAACCAAAAAGATTGTTAATAAATATGATATACATATCTTTCAATTAAAAAAAATGTCAATTATTGATATATTTTCTCTTGTTTAATATTTAATAATATTGTAAAAAGGGTAAAATGATGCTTGTGAGCGTTGCAAACGTTAAGTGAGTGAAACGTATTCTTATTTTTATTACCGTTATTATACTAAAATATAAAATATAATTTAAAAGTATATGATATATGTATCTGAAGACACTTTTCAAGTATCTGTACCTAAATACATTTTAAAAATATCTTACCCATCACTGTAAATAAGTTTCCTTATCAATTAATGAATCGCGATGCCGAATATACGAGTATCTAATCTGCTCCGTGTCCATTGCGTCATGCAAATGAAATGAATGCGTCAAAATGGCGGAAGGGTGGCGAGAGGGCCGCGTTTTCAGCGCGACCTCACGCGTTAAAAAATTTGAACTATACGCACCTATTCTTAAGTCCGATCTACACGCAGATCGCGAGTCGCAGATCGCAAGTTTGTTGCATCAGCCAATCCGATGCGTTAATTTTAAAAATGATATGCTTCGAGATTTTTGCATTCTGTGTGTTATGTAGATCGGCTTTAACATCGAGTTTATGCATTTTCCGCGTAATAAATACCATACATTTTTTATGACAGAATGTATATTAATCTTATAACTTATACTTATAACTATTAAATTACTTATAACTATTAGATATAATTTTTTGATTTATATACGTATTTACATCTTATGTTCTCAATTTAATATTAACTTTTCACAAATTATAAATTTTTAAACAAAAACTAAAATTCTATATTTCTGCTTTTATCGCTTTGAACGTTAATTACCTAAAGTTTTTTTGGAAACGCAACAAGAACTCTTTATGAAATAACGAGAATGTTTGCAAATTGATTATATACCTATATTCAATTATATATTAATTACTATTCGAATTTTTTTCTATTAAAGTAGGAAAGCTGTGAATTGATTATTTGCCAATTATTAATAATATTGTAAGCTTACCAAATTATAAATTCTTTTACCAATTTAAATTACAATTAAAATTATCACAAGTAATGCATCGCTCGATAAATGCAAAAGATAACAAAACGACAATAGAAAGTCGAAAATGATCGAAGTTGTTTGTTTGTAAATGACACGTCCTTCTCATAGCAACGTGTCTAAATTATATACATCTAAATTTCCACAATTAATAACTTCTTTTTTATAAATTAATTGATTTTAATACCACACAACTAATGAAATGCTTTTCAAATCTAGGATATCATCTAGGAAACTATTACAATTTTTCACAAGGTATGCAGGAATTAATCAATCGTCAAATGAGATTACACAGTTCTTTTGCTAAAATGATATTTTTTCATATTATTGATGCATTTGTTAATGAAACTGGATTTCATTATTTGCAATCATAAGTAATCGAATGAAATAATCTTCTGTGTTGCAGATTATTCTCAGATAAAGGTGGAAATAAAAAAAATATATCAGAATGTGCAAAGTTGACGAACCTCGAATCGCTGGATCCTTGTATGATAGATCCAAGCAAACCACAACCAACTATTGTGATCATAGGAGCTGGCATGGCTGGATTATCGGCAGCACATCGATTGGTTCAATGTGGCCTCCGTAATCTTACAGTTCTAGAAGCCACAGATAGGTACTTCAAACAAATTCAAAGTTAACATTAAAATTTAAAAATTAATTTTAATAAATTCCTTATTATAAGAACAACATACTGATGTATGGCATATCTTAACATTAATTAAATTAAACTAAAGTGATAGGATATTATATTATCTTAGTAACTCTTACAATATCTTGAAATAACATATTGCAGCTAAAAATTTAGTTGTGTTATTTTAATGTTATTTTAATACGTTTTGTCATTTTATTAGTCCTGATCCAGAAAAATGTAATAGATTTATATCGTCGTTTTTAATTTTGCTTTTATATAAACTATAATTAATGCATTTCTGATTCTAGACCGGGTGGACGGATCCACTCTTGCTGGTTGGGCGATGTGGTGACGGAAATGGGTGCTTCATGGATTGAAGGTGGTAGCGCTTCAGGACAGATTCAAGTCGTGGACTTTTCTGTACCAGTGATGGTAGAGCCATTGATTTCCCAATCAGCATCGCGGCGTATCATGCCTTCCGGCAAATCGAGCAACAGGCGGCGGCTCTCTTTTCTCTTGGCTGTGGTCGTGCTCACGGTACGTTGCTGAATTTTATGGGTGTCAGAATTCAACAGGAGCTCCACAATTTCCCGGAGGAGCAACGGTACAGTTGCCCAGGTCAACTTCAAAGCCATATTGGCAGCGATGTAAAGGATTTGCTTGGATGATCATCAAATGAGTGGGAGTTTCTCATTGATTAGAAATATATGATTTTTTATTTGTTTTTTAGGATATAATATTTAGAAAATATTATGTAGATATAACTTGCAGATTTAAATACTCAAACAAAAAGATACGATTAAGATAAGATTATATGTATTATACGTAAATAATTATTTATTCATAAATGGTAAAAAATCAAATATATATATTTAAAAAATATGAATGTAATGTATATTTAAATAATTGAAGAGGAGAATATTTTATATAACTGGGGGAACGTTGTTTTATAAATTTAATTCGGTTTGCAAAAATAAAACCATTACATCGCTGTAACTAATTACGACTCAATTACGTTCATCGCCTATAATCAGAAATATGGATAATTCGTGATTCACAGATATGATGCCGCTAGGGTGATGTACGGTATGATAAATTGCATGAAATGTCGATGCGGAGATGACCTTTCGCTTGTCTCAGCTGACCAATTCGGCAGCTACATCGAGATTCCTGGTGGAAATATCAGAGTACCCTTGGGATATGTTGGGGTGCTAGCCCCCTTGCTTCGAGATCTACCTAATGGTTGCGTCAGGTTCGTACAAAAGTGTCTAATCTTTTACTTCGTCATTATTTCACGAAGAAATCAAATTAAACGATATTAATTTTCATTACTTCATATAAACACCTTATAAGTACGCTAAATGCTTTATACACATTATTTAAAGTAAATTATTGTTTCACAATTAAAAAAAATTTTTACATTCATCAATTTATTTTTAATAAAAATCACTCTAATGTAGGATTAAGAAAGAATTACACGAAAGTTACACGAACTTTGAATTTTATGAATACAGATGTCATAAATTTGACGATTATATACAAAATATAAATTAAAAGATAAATTTATAAAGCTGTAGTTTTATAGAAAAATTTTTTAAAGCCCGGTCTAAACCGGAATGATTGCGTATGTTTAAAAATACTTTTTTTTCTCTATTTAATCGAATAGTTTTAAGCTTTAACTATTTTAATTGTTTGTTAAATGCTATTTACAAATAATCATTTAATTTCGGTATTTTCCTCATTTATTTTCCTAATTTAAGGTATTGTAAACCAGTTAATTGCATTCGGTGGGGTACAGTGAATGACGCGTGTCCACGAGCTATCGTGAAGTGCAACGACGGCGAAGAGATTCCTACTGATTATGTGATTGTAACCATTTCACTTGGTGTCCTAAAAAATCAGCACACGAAATTGTTCTTACCAGAATTACCTGCTGAAAAAGTGGAGGCAATCAGAAAACTCGGGTATGGACACGTTAATAAAATCTTCTTGGAATACGCGAGACCATTCTGGGTTTGGCGAGAGGGTGCCATCAAGTTGGCTTGGTCCGCTGAAGAACTAGCAGATAGATACGATTGGGTGAAAGGTTGTCACTTATAATATTACAATGTAAAATATAATTACTACGATGTAAAAAAAAAACTGAGTCAACGAAAGTGCTCACATTTAGGTGTGGCAAGTGTGGAGGAGTTGCCCAATTCTCAACATGTGTTGTGCGCTTGTATATGTGGGCGCGAAGCGATGGACGTGGAACTATGTTCTGATGAAGAGGTGGTAGAGTCGATGACGACGGTTCTACGCCGGTTTACTGGCGACCCGACGTTACCTTACCCAGCCAACATCCTCAGGAGCAAGTGGTGCATGGACCAATACTTTGCTGGAGCCTACAGTTACATGGCGATGGACAGCACCGTTGGTCATCAATGTGATCTGGCTAGTCCATTACCAGGTATTTCCAACTTTTGTTCACGAATATTCAAATAGTAAGGTGACGTTTTAATAACGTTTTATTATTGTTAGAGGTGTCATTAAGACAATTAAGACGTCATTTCGTACCACTTTTGCTACTTGAATATTTTTTTGGATATATATCTTGAATCTTTCTAGAGCTTCACTTTGAATTTTGAATATTCAGAGATGCTACACATGATGGCTTATAAATATAGTCCTCAATAATATAAAAATAAAATCTTTAATATAAAAATAAAAAACGTCAGATAACTATTAACAGTTACAGCTCGAACAGTTTTATCAGACATTATTATAATTCCATTAATAACAGTTTGAGCATTTTTTCAACATATGTCATGGTTTCTAGACTCTCGCGAAGCGATACCTCCCATACTTTTATTCGCGGGCGAAGCTACCGTACCTGGGCATTACAGCACAGTGCATGGTGCAAGGCTCAGCGGTATTCGTGAGGCGGAAAGAATAATTCAGTTAACAAAACGATATGAAGGTCCTCCCAAAAAAGTGCTCGTTAAATCGTGATCGCGGCTATCCGGAAATATGAAGAAAGTGATTGAAAGTGTGCGATTTTTGTTATGTAACATATACATATATTATACATTTTATAAATTTTGTATAATTTTCCGTATAGATAAATTGTTTTTGATCATATAAATGGTCTTATTCGAAGAGAAAAGATATATAAAATAATAAATAGAATAATAAATATTAATTCAATATTACATTATTGTAGTTCTATTATAGATACGTTTAAATATTTTCTGACCAGAAATTGAAATTACTGCTAAAAATAAACTTTAAGAATAATTCTAATTAACTCGATCTCTAATGTCGTCTCAAAATATGTATTTCTTTTTGCGCAACCACTTTGTGGCACGCAATGCATAATAACGCGATCGATCGAAAAGTATAATAATTGAATACTTACTGGACTTATATGATAGCAAAACATCGTATAGATATGCAAGAATTTTCTCAAATTTTTTTATCTTCTGCTAAAAAAAAAATTGATTCTGCAATAATAACTATAACTCGCAATTTTTGTGGCAAACAATCAATACATAATAACGCGATCGATTAAAAAGTAATTATTATATATTTTAATAATCAAAGTCAGGAATATAAAAATCTGCATTAAAGCTCAAAGATCTAAATTATTGACGGAAGATGTAAAATTTCACATGATCCATATGGAAGGTTAATTATATTGAATATTAATTGTTTTAATTGTACCTTGCACGATAATATAACAACATTATCTGATAATAAATATCTGAAATAAATTCAGTGTCATTCTTCTAGTTCATGTAGACTTTTAATTAATTGGAACTCCGTCAAAGTTGTCCTGAATTCATCCTGAAATGCATAAAAGTGTGAAATTGAGAATGTGGGATACCCGATAATATCTCGGATACATTCTCTAGAATCGGGCTGCGCCGATGAACGTCAATGCCCGTACCCGTCTAACATGCGCATAGTTTGTGACGTACGGACAGTGTTTCTGTGCCGCATATGTTTACGCTCGTTCCTCTCAAGACAGACCCGGCAAAATGGACGATATAGCATTGCGGGCGTCTGATCATGTTTTAGAGGTGATATTCTCGTATCTGGACCTGCACACGCTAAGAAACTGCTCACTGGTGTGCAAACGATGGTACCGGTTTCTCAACGACGAGAACAACGATGTGTGGCGGATGCACTGCATAAGAAAGCTTGCCCAGGAAGCCCTCAGCTCCGACTTGTTGTCGTCTGTGCCTACGTACAAGTCGAAACTGCGTGCGTTCTATCATGCGTGGAATCCGAACGATTGCTCGCGAAACATTTACATAAAACCCAACGGATTCACCTTGCACAGGTTGGTGTGCGACGATGTTGTCCCTCCCACGCGTTATGCTCGTCGAAAACGAAGACTCCGTTTGTACTTTTTTAACATAAATATATTTCGAGAGCAATCTTCACTGGTTATAATGTTGTTTTCTGTTGTAAAACCAGCTGTCAATTGATGTAACAGACAAGGCTACAGAGAAAAAGATTCATGACTTTTTTTGTAATTGGAGGATGTTTTTTTTTAGATGCTTGAAGGAGCTACAGTTGAACTAAATTGTAATTGATCTCTAGAAGAATGTACATAAACAATGGAATTTCTTAAGCAATTAGTGAAAATTATGATGATATAATAGAAACATGAAGTAATCTGACAAATACAATATCCAAAATGTCTCGCATCAGTTACCATATCATTGCAGAAATCCAGTAGCCCAGAGTACAGACGCGTGTAGAGGCAAAATAGGCTTTCGACATGGGCGTCACGCTTGGGAAGTAATCTGGGAAGGACCATTAGGAACAGTAGCAGTAATAGGAATAGCCACTAAAGAAGCACCCTTGTTATGTCATGGATACGTAGCATTGCTCGGCTCTGATGAACATTCCTGGGGTTGGAACCTTGTCGACAACCATTTGCTACATAATGGAGATCCACAAGGAAATTATCCTTTACTCAACAATGCTCCAAAATATCAGGTATTAAGTTTGTCATGAATTGTACTTGATTATAACCGAATCACTTTGGACATATTAAGTGTTGGAATTAATTCGTAGCGTTTTACAAGTGATGGGAAGTACTTTCATTAATGTATTTTTTAATGCTCATGTGAAATAAATAACATTCTTTCATTAAAAAACGCTACGAATTAATTCCAACACCTAATATATTTTTTATTTTTACATTTATTCATAGATATTTGTCGTGACTCGTTTAAAAATATTTCTAACATTTGATTTAATTTTCATTTACAGGTTGGGGAAAGGATTAGAGTAATTTTGGATTGTGATGATAATACCTTATCTTTCGAGAAGAATTACGAATTTCTGGGTGTAGCTTTTAGAGGTATGACATTTTATCTATATTTCTTTATACACACATTTTTATGTTATTATTATCTATTATCATTATTAGTATCTAAAGCTTGAGACAATTATATATCGTTTTCTTTTTCTATTTTTCAAATCATTCCTTGAAATACTAAAACAAGAATGTATTTTACGAATCACTTTGATAAACAGGGTTACCAGATAAAAGATTATATCCATCTGTATCTGCGGTTTATGGAAATACAGAAGTATCCATGGTATACTTAGGACCTCCATTGGATGGCTAACACATTACATTAAAAAAGAAAACATATCCTCAAAAAGCTCGTTTGAGGCTGTACAATGCATTCTTAATGCCAAGTTCTCTGCAGTATACTAACATTATCTACGTTTAAGTAGAGAAAGCACACGATAACAAACTGTATAATATTTACAGAGAATGTGTGCCTGTAGATTACTTGGTCAATATTGTAAATAATAGACATTTTATTTTATTTAACGGCGAAATTTACAATGCATTTAGTTTGACCAATTAAATCAGTCGCTTGATTGATACAATTGCACGTGTTATACATGGAAGTTTTAAGTGATACTAGTTAAATATATTATGTATGTGTATAATAATATAAAATTTATTTTATTGATTTTTATTAACATTTTTTGTTAGATATTATCATACAAAATTATGAGAATCTACACACATACGTATATGTATTATGTTGTAGATTATAAATTTGTCACATATTTAATGCTTCCATGTAATACTATTTTTATTTCTATTGTTTAATTTTATTTAATTGTATAAAGAAAAAATATGTAATATTTTATACATTTATTGTATAATAGTTTATTTATTGTATAATAATTTTAAAAAACGAAAAGGTTTATTTCAAAAAGAATTCCATTTTAATGTCTTTAAACAATTGTATAATATTTAAATAATATTTAAATATTTTTCGATTTGTTTGCGTTTGTTTCTTTGTATTGTATGCAATAATCTCAGGACACTCGTTACAATATTACTTTTTATTGCTAGAATTAATTTTATTTTCAAAAAAGGTTTATTTCAAAAAGAATTCCATTTTAATGTTTTTAAACAATTGTATAATATTTAAATAATATTTAAATATTTTTCGATTTGTTTGCGTTTGTTTCTTTGTATTGTATGCAATAATCTCAGGACACTCGTTACAATATTACTTTTTATTGCTAGAATTAATTTTATTTTCAAAAAAGGTTTATTTCAAAAAGAATTCCATTTTAATGTCTTTAAACAATTGTATAATATTTAAATAATATTTAAATATTTTTCGATTTGTTTGCGTTTGTTTCTTTGTATTGTATGCAATAATCTCAGGACACTCGTTACAATATTACTTTTTATTGCTTAGAATTAATGAACTCGTTACATTCTTCCTGTGGTGCGTTTAAATTCCCACCCGAATGCTTTTCAGTATCATGTTATCTATTGTTTATAATTTGATATAATTCGAATTGTTAATATTCGATGAGCAAAGATATGAACAAAGATAAAATGATACCTCGGGTGAAAATCTAAATACAGCCCTGAATGCTCATATTTTTAATATAATTTATTAATTTATAACATAATTTATTAACTTATGTCATAAATAATACAGCCAAAGGAAAAATAATAAGAAAATCTTGTGTTTTTTGTAAATCTTAATGTATACGATTTGCTTGTTTCTTGTGATTTAGTGTAATTATATTATATGTAGAAATTAAGAATGCGACAAATTATATTTTATTCGTATTATAATCAAACAAAAAATGGTTTTTAAAAACGATTCTTGACGTAATAGTATACAGGGTGTCTCACTTCAAGTGTTCATTGAGTATAGCTACATTATTTTTTGTACAAGATTAAATCACGAAAATAATTATATAGTATAATAAAATCAAATAGTCAATGTCTTTTTCAAGGCCTCATTCAATAGGCATGAAAACCATTCGTCCTAAATAAATAATTAAATTTTACATTTTTTATTTCTAAAATAATAGATAGGGTTCCACACATATTCAACACATAATTTCTTTGGGAAATAAATGCGAAAAAGAAAAAAAGAAAAAATTCAACAAAGCATTGCTTAATGCAATGTATTTTTCTTCATATTTTTGAACATTTAACATCTTACATCAAAGTGATTTGATTTAGATTTTAAGTCGCCATAGATTCTATGTTGCTATATATTGAAATCTAATATCATTTTCATATCTTGTGTATGTTGCATAAATTTTTATGCCATTATTGTGGATGAATGAATAGCACAAAAGAGACATTTACTGCATAAAATTTTAAAAGTTGTCGTTTTCATTTATCGTCTAGTGAATTTTTATTGACGACATATACATGTATTATATATATATATGAAAGATTGTATATTACAATCTATATTTATAAATAATACTGTTTTTAATATAAAATTGAATACTGATGATTAGAGTGAACTAGGTGTGATTACTAAGACGATTATTTATAATGTACATATTTATTACAATATTTGCGTTTGCTGTATGTAGTGTTCGTGAATTAGTTTTTCTAAACTTTTGTACAGAATCGTGTACATAGTGATTATAAATATTTGGGAAATAAACTTTATTTCGTATGTATCTATTGGTTCTATTCATCTAGTTTATCAGCCTTTACTTATATTTCATAAGCATTGCATTTTAATGCCGATTTAATCTACTGTTATTACATAAATCTTGTTATATAAATAAAAAAATACAGCTAGACTTAGAATTCTTTATTCACTTTACCCAAAACCTTACAATATTTTCACAACTCGAACTAGTGTCAGTGTAACAATGTTACACGTATGTATATCTATTTCAGATATTTTAGTACCTTAATATTAACTTGTAGATTTGAAAGATTATTATGTGATATACTAAATGAAAGGCCTTTTTAATATGATCTGATACTAAATGTTGAAAATTTTTTCTCTCTTTTCAATTCTTTTTAAATTATTTAAATGGAGAGAAAAACTTTCGAATATAGAGTTTACAAATTTCCACAGCGTGAATGTGTTATTTAATCTTATTTTATTAAATAGACGCAGTTGTGTTTAGTGAAAGGAAAAATGTACAGTGAAAAATGTACATAGAAACATAATTACAACAATACTAATATTCTCTCACTGTGCAAATTTGTATACCGTAGTTAGTTAGAACCAATGTTGGATATTTACGAATATAATATAAATTGTTAATGTGTAATCTAAATCAAATGATGAAAAGCAGTTTCACATTATTCGTTTATCTAGTTTATACGTATATTGTCCCGTCAGTACTGTTTATTTATTATAAAATTATTTACTTTTATTCTTTAATATAAATTTGAGATCATATTAAATTTGTATAAGTCTGATGATATTTAAATGCTTATCAAGCATTCAGTACAGTATTAAAAATAAAATCATTTTAATGTAATTTAAAAAATGAGATTAATTGAAAAATTATTTTAATTTTCTTTCTTCTATTTGTACCTCTAAAAATGAATTCATTCTTTTATTTTTAATTCTTTATAACGTGAGAATTTTTTTTTTATGAATGTATACGATGTGTTTTGTATATTTTAGTTTATATATTTCATATTATATATAGACTGTACGTAAATAGCCAACATTGATATAATGAAGAGATAATCTTCATACTGTTTCTTTTTTTAATCTTTTCCTAATTAAATTTGATTGAAAAAATTGTTAGTGAATCATTTAACATTGTATTTAACATCATATGTACTAAGAAATATATTAAATCATATTTTTAAGATAGATATTCAATCGAAAATATTCCATTAAAATAAAATTTCGTTAATTTTTAGTGTTTTCTGTATATCATAAAGAAAAAATTTTATTTGAATACAATTGATTCGTCATGGAACGCAACGTGCAATATGAGTACTCGCCAGAATATAATTCCACATACTTAACGTTATCGACATTATTTACACGTTTTACGTTGAAAATAAGAAGTAATGTATTTTGTACAGAATATATGTATAAAGGCAACGCGAAGTCATGTACAAAATTGTGAACAATTCACTGGCAACGCATTTTGCATATAAGCCAAGTATTTATAAATATCATATAAATGAGGCTGAAACTGACAGTAAATTCATTCACGATTAATTACAAGAATACAATCTAAATCATATAACAACAATAACAAATTCACTCAATATTTCTAATTTAAAAATAAAAATGTGCATACAAATAGTATAGATGGTATAGACGCTGTATATATACTTATATATTGTCAATCTTTTATATACATAGTGTCATGAAATTCATAAATCAAAAATATATAATAAGAATTCTCGAAAAAATAAGTTATAAAAATATTTGCGATTTGTCTTTTCGAATAGTAATTTTTGAGACATAAATATTAAAAAATGTAATCAATTATAGCTTATCGTTAAACAATCATTTAATCTATAATTTAGTCTATATAGTTTAACATATAATTAATCTATTTTTAATTTTCATGTCTTAACAACTACTTCATGAAATTGCAAATGGCAAAAACTTTTATAATTTATTTTTTCGAGAACTTTTTTTACTGTGGTGTATATATAAAATTATTCTTTACATAATATTATCCATACAAATAACGAAACTGCAAACTTATTTCATCTCTCTCTCTCTCTCTCTCTCTCTCTCTCTCTCTCTCTCTATTTCTCTCGCGTATTAGGAAAATATAATTTGAATCTTAAAATAATATTGCAATTGGTATATGAAATTTATTAGAAACTCACTTAAGTAAAAGATTACACAATTATATTTTTTTATCTCTAAATAATATTAATAACTTACAATATTAACGCAATTATCACATTAGTGACACTATGAAAATATTTCATCTAACAAATCAAATTAAAATCTTTAATATGGAATGCTCGAACATATCTACACTATTTTGCAAGTTTCTTTGTTTTAAATGTTAACGTTTGTTATCTTTTTTGACATAATTGCAATACAAACTATATAAATGAAATATATCTCAATAAATTAGAAAAATTTTCTCCGCATAAATAAGTAATTAATAACCTAGTTAAGCATATCTTACAGTATCGTATGTCAGAAATACATACACACATATATATATATATATATATATATATATACTCTAGTGAAAAATTATTTAAAACAAAAATAAATATATAAATATGAATCGTTATTGAAACAGTGAAATAAATTCAATTCATCCAAAATAAAATGTTAACAAAATATGTCTCTACATAAATAAGACAATATGTTAATGTAATTTTAATTTTTCCTCTTAAAATATATGTAAATTTATTATTAGTTAACGTATTATTAGTTAATAGATCGAAAATTTCATATTACAATTATTTATATATAATATATAATAATAAAAAAACTGTTGAATAAAATTCGACTAATTTATGATTAATGATGAAAAGTATTGATTATTAAATAATAATAAGTTTACATTATTTTTTACTAAATGCAATCTGTATACAAGGATCACTTTTATTAAAACATGTACAAATAATTAATCACATCATTTTTAAATGATTTTTTTTACAATTTCTATTCTCTCTTAAAAAAAAAACCCTTTACACGATTTTCACTTTAATAAAAGATATTATAATATTGTTTTTATAATATCATGTCAATCTTATTTGCTACTACTTTAATTTTCGAAATATTACTATACATATCTAATGCAAGAATTGGAACATTCTCGTGCAAGAATCATGATCATTCTGTTTTTAATTTGAGATTTAATATGTAATTTTTATATATATGTGATATATTTAATTTAATTATATTCTACAAAGATATCTACATATTTAAACTCTTATATTCAAATTACAAGATTACCAAGTAAAATTTTTCTATATCGTTATTTTAAGTCAATTCTATACAGTGTCACTAATATTACTATTATTATCCATATTATCATTAGATACTGATAACATGAATTCCGTATTATCAAGCTGTTTTCATTAAAAAATAAGTTCTTTCTTTAATGGCAGCTTACTGAAATTGTTTTGCTTTCGTTTAAATCTGTACAAGTAACAACATGGATCGTTCTATTTTAAAGCAACAAATTTACAAAAATTTACTATATCACAAAAATTTTATATGGAAAAGTTGAAAGGACGTAAAATGGACGTTAGTTTTCATCCATGCACTATTTTCATGAATTTTAATTTCTGTCTGGACGAAAGCATTAATTTATAATCTATGCATGTATCTATTTATCACATAATATGCTATACATCGCAAAAATCGAATTCTAAATTCTAAAAGTTTCTCACTATTATAATAAGGATATATTTTCGTATGCGAAAATGCGAAAATTCGTATATAGTATGTAATTAGATAGTATAGGAACTGTCATATAAAAATATTTCCGTATACATGACTTTCGCAAATAGAATCGTAGATTTATCAAAATAAGAGCATTGTATATGTCATAAAATGCTTTGTCAGCTCTTTATGGTCTCCCGATTATGTTTAAACCTAAGAATTATTAATGTTTAAACCTAAGAGATGATACCTGAGGCCAAAATACTTATATTATATGCATTTTAAACTGAGGAAATTTACGAAGTTTCAATTTGCCAAAATGAGCAGTATTAATCATGAACATTTTATCAATAGCAATCTCCTTCAGTCCTGATAATATACGATAACATCAATCATGATTTATTAAAATTTTTGCGGATATTGAATTTAGATTAAAAAGGAAAGTTAAAAAAGATGTTACAACCACTACATGTAAATAGAATTTATCAAAATCACTTTACAAAGAAATTTTTGTTCTCTAAAAATAAAATATTTGATGTTGAAGCAAATTTTTATTTCATTGTATCATTAAGATAATTGGGCCTATTTTAGGCCCAATGCACCTCAGACCGTGCTACTAAGAAGATTTACCGTAAAACTTCGTAAACTTTTACTTTGTGCCTATCTATTATGTATAATATAAATAAAATATTGCAGTTTCGTTATTTGAATATCTTCATTTCTATTGCGAAAATAAAAATATTAAAAATGAATATAAAATGGTGACACAAAATGGTTTGTATACAATGTGTTTTTATCTAATGAAAAATGTAATTATATTTTTAATAAACCATTGTTATTACCAAACGTCAGTTTAAGCCTCTGAGATTCTATGCACAAGACTAGGCATGATAAGCTAGCATTTGGACAGAAATTCATATTTCAAATTGACTATTCTTATTCGTTTGGTATTATATACTAATGAATTGAAACTAATAATAATGATCACAACGATTGTATCAAGTTATCTATTTGGTAACTTATGTATGTATCTATGAAAGATTTTAATCCTCCAAAAACAAAAATCCTTTTAATATCTTTTAAATAAAAATTTTTACTGAAAATATATTAATTGTTTATATTGGACTGTAACACAATTAAATCTGTCAGAAATTCGTTTTTTCCTATCTCCCACTTTCCTCAAGTTTCCTTGTACACCATATTTAGGAAATTATATAATAGACATAATTATAATATAAATTGTTTTAATCTGCAAGGAAGAAAAACCTGATATTCTTATATATCTATAATCTATGATAGAATTAATATCTGCGTGATCACGAATGCAAATGCACATTATGCAAAAATATGTAAAAATCTGTTATTTCTTATAAACAAATATTCTTATATAACTTTTGGTGATGCAATATATATAAATATATACTCACTGAATCAAGATGGGTGTGCTTCAAACATACCTCTGATAAAACAATTTTCTCTTCCATATTAATCAAAATGTGTATGGCCATTTCCTGAGGTGTTAGATTCTTCACATAACTTCTCATTCTGTTCATATGTATAATTCTTTTTTGGAATAGTGCATTCCAGCGATGGCTTAACTCTAGTCAATGGAAACTTAGTCAATAAAAAATTAGATATATAACAAAACAGCTTGCACAAAGTGGGACATAATATTAATTGATGAGTTACTGCCCATAAGCGATAATTTTGACCTTCAAATGGATCCAAAACAGCTGCACATAACATATGACTAAGATTCACCTGTACAGGCTGCAAAGAACAAATAATATTGCAAATAGATCAAAGGATTAATTATAACAGCTAGATAACAAGGTATGATGTACAAACCAAGGCAACACTTTGAACAATCCAAAAGTGATATCCTACATTAAGGCCATAACTGAGGATTGACCAGCTCATATCAGATAAGGGCTCAATATTATATACACCTAATGGAAAGAGTAACACAGTATTATCCATCTATTCTATTATTCTTATTCAAACACATAATTACCTCCAATCCTCAATAAATAATATGGTATTATAAGCATCAAACCGTGCTGAATATAGTACAATGCTTTGTCCGCAAATATCTGTAAAAAACTCTCATTTAAAATTTTATTTTACATAACATATTTAATTACATAAATAATTTAATTATGATTTACAATGCGAGACTCTGTTTCTGGAAATAGATATGCTAATACCGGTCCATTCAACAGATTCAAATGTATCCTAAAGATAGCAGTGACCATTGGACTAGGATCCGCAGCCAGCAAATATAACTGTTTTATAATAGAAAATATAATAAACATAGTAAAAGTTTGTTAACTTGATTTGTAAGAAATAAAATTTAATTATTACACCAATATAATTCAAAAAAGCTTACCTGTAATGCTGTTGTAATATGACAAGGATTTAATAAATATATGACAGTTCTGCTGGTGAATTTAAAACCGATTTCCATCCCCAGGACCAATGACATCATAATCAACAAAACTCGCCTGCCTACACGGTCCTGGCCAACATAAGCTAGTTTCTTTGGCAAAGTTATTCGTTTGAGACCCCATATGATACAGGATATGATAAATACAGATATAAACAAAGTTTCTATTATCCGTCGTTTAAGTGTTAAGTAACTCGCACATTCTGGACCGACATTGCGTGGTATAGAGCCATTTACACCACCATATGCCCACTCGAACATTGCTCTAAATTAACTTCTCCTCCGAAACTGAAACAGAACAGCAATTGTTCTCAATACCTACGAGTCTTTTACTGCCTGCAGTCATGATGAACAAAATAATCGAACGACTTTAGTCACTCAGTTATTTTTCTTAACATAGAAATGAGAAACAGATCTTTTAATTGTAGTAAAAGACGTTTTACGATAAAAACGTTTATCTAAATCCTGAAAAAATGTGTTTTTTTTATATTAAACTTCAATTATCTCATATTATTTAATATCTTTTGTCTTCGTTATAAATTATATTTGAACACGTTTATTATCCGATACTTTGCGATCTTTTTCATTTATATATTTTTATATTACTGAGAATGACTAATGAGAATCGAAACATATTGTATTTAAATAATTGTAAGATTAAAATTCACATTTATTGTCATGTGTATATCACAGCACTTAACATCCTGCATTGATTCGCAGTTTTTATTATTTAATCTTCTGATCTTTTGTTTTTTTATAATTTTAAATATCGAAAACGTCTTTGCATTGTTGAAGTGCTTACGAATGGATAACACGTTTTCGAAACTGGTTATAATTAGTTTCCGAAATTAATTATAAATACATTCTGGCCATCACTTAGAATTAGTCATTATACCCATTTTAATTATTTACAGATATTTTTACACAGAAATCTTTTGGACAAATGCAAAAACTGAATTCTATAACAATAATATGGCATCAAATGTTTAAAAAAAATACATATTTAAGCAAAAACTTTCAGGGCCGGAGTATAATAAAACTTTGGTTCTTGTGCTCAAAAGTTTCTAATCTTTTCGATAATTTTCCTCTCTAAATTTGACACAGTGAAGAAAAAAAATATCGAAATAGCACATAACTAATGAAATAAAAATAATGTTTTGCTAAAACGAGAAAGAATTATGAAGCCGTTTTAATTAACGATCAGTATGTTGCGGCAAGTCGAACAAGGTTAGAGTCAGCGTAAGTCAAAGGACGTACGATGCTTTATTGATCTCGACATCTAAATGTCAATCATTTGATATGCACGATCGTACCTTAAAACAAAAGATGTCTTTCGCCACAATGGAATCCGTGCTTGAGTAATAATATCTGCACCGTATACCAAAACGAAAACAATTCAGAACATCGGAATGTCAATAGACTTGATTCCACTGGTTCGACCCCCCCCCTGCTTCTGCCCCCTCCAACGAATAGAACATCGATTGGCTGACAGCGAAGCAATCGAGATATTGTTACCTGGCTTCTAGATGGCGGCACCTTCATAAAAATGCACTGTTTGCATTACACCTTTCTGCACTTTTGATTTATCGATTTAATTTAGGCCTATTCTTTTTTGACTAAACTTTTGTACCAGTTCATCTTACTTTCTTTTCTCTCAAAGAGAAAAGAAGAGGAGGAAAAATGAACTGCAAAAATTCAGTCAAAAAGAACAGACCTATTGTTACATTAAGCTTGTATTGCTTGAAATCCTAAAAAATGTTGAATTAAAAGTGAAATAAAAACATAATTAAAATAAAATCAAACAAAATATGATGATAACAAAATATAACAAATTACACATCTGTTAATTAAGAATAGTAAATCAGGAAATATTACAAAGTTTGTTTATATCTTTATAAGTTCTTAAAGAAATTATACAAGATCACATTTTTTGTAATTAAAGAAATTTTGAAAGTCACAAAATATTTTTAATTTTTTAGGTTATGTTTTCGAATAATTTTTTAGATTAATGAATTAATCCATTACATGTTTAGATTCGCTATTTTAAAGGATTATTAATCCACAGTTCTACAAGGAACATCTTGAAAATGACTCTGAAAATACTTACAACAATTCTAAAAAAAAAATTATATTTGGGAAAATACGTTAGCCGAATATCACATTTATATTTTGTTTGTATATCTGGAACAAAATCGTAAAGCTCAATTTATATGTGTTATATATAAATAAATATATAAATAATAATAAAAAAAAAGAAAAAATTAATTACAATTAAACTTAAATATAAATTATTTAAAAAATGGAAAAATACACTATATATACGATTCAAAACTTTAAACTTTTGATTCGATAATATAGATCTACACAATTAAATAACGTAATTTTTGTGTACATAAAAATATATAATTTATAAGTTTTCTCAGTCTTGTATAATTTACTTGATACGAAAGTTTTTGATTTCGATATACTTATATATTTTAACAATAAGGACTGATTTTTACCAATGCCGTTAACTGATGACCAATCGCATTTGCTGTTTAGTAGAATTGACCAATTATGATTGATAGTTAATTCCGATTAGGGTTAATCGTCGTTGATAAAACCGGCCCTAAGAACAAAACATAAACGATTTTTAGTTTTCGGTTAATTTTTATATTTTTGAATTTAATAGAAATGTAATGAGATGAAAAAACATTTATTTGCAAATTTACAAGATAACATAAATTTTAGAATAAAAATAAATTTGTGTTCAACAAAAAAAGCAGCTTTAATAAGCATTTTATGCTAATTGGATATACATATATCGAGAAAAACCGTTGACTTGTTTAATAGAATAGAATATTAGATCTGCGGTTGGTATTACGCGATCTACGTTGGTACACGCGATGTCACGTGACGCATCTAACGATTAGTGAAATAAAACGCAGGCGCGAGGTTGAAATTTAAACAAGAACATTTTTTATACGCAAATACTTACATATCGATAAAAATCTCTACAGAAAACATCCAGGATAACATCGACAATTATTGTAGCTTGTTGAAAAGTGTGTAGAAAGCATCTGATTCTTATCGCAAATCCAAATTATTCATATCTTAAATTACTGTACACCGAAAGGGCGGGAACTTTGCGCGCGCAAATGCAGCCGCCATGACAGTTTCAACGGCGCGAGCCGGAGCACAAAGACGTAGTTGCTCCGTAATTAATCGCCGATTTCATCTATCAAAAATGCACAGCGAGCCCGAATTTCTACTGGAAATAGCGACTAAGACGATGGACGATTGCCAGAGAATGTCAGTTGTCGCGGATCTTCGCCATCATTGCCGTTTCGTCGATTACGATCGGTCATACGGGTGAGTATAACATTCCGATGTCGTAGATACGCAAAATGGTCTGTGTGTCTTTTTACGAGAGAATTGAAGTGATTAGTATATTTTCTTTCCACTGGATGCTGCATATTAGGTATTTCAATTCTAAGAATATCACTCGTACGTTTATTGCTGTTTCCATCACTGGATGCAGCGTATGTTAATAAAGTTTGCATTTGATTATATTTGAATTGTAGATATAAAAAAGACGTAATCCTATCAAAATGATTGATTCTTTTATCGTCGTGCACGTCATTTATTAAATTATTTTAATATTACAAACTGAATATTACGCACATTATGACATTTTCGACGTTTGGAATGCGAATATGCGATCATTTTGCAAGGAATTGCGAATTTTACCCGTTAAAAGTATGTTCGAATTTTTTCCAGGTATCGTACATACAGAATACAGTAACTGATAATGGCTGGAACGAATGAGTTATCGCGGATTATTCATCGTTTTTGTCATAGCGCTGTTTGATAGTTAGTCAACAATATTGTATGACATCGCGATACCGGTGAGTATAAACTTCAATGCTATTTACACACGAAAATAATTAGTTTTCTCGAAAAAATTGAAGCAATTAACATACTTTTCACTAGGTGTAGCCTATTAGAAATACCAATTAGAAATACCAATCATTGTAACAATATATATGATGTTGCATATTTTATTTATATTATGTTTAATATAAAAATTGCTACTGAATATAATATATTGTGGGAGTTTTCCAACAAGAGACATTCATGACAGTGCCATATCTCTAAGAGATGACAATAAATTGTATATGATATGCCAAAGTTTGTGCATTATGTCTATAACTTAAATCTCTAAGTAAGTGTTACGACTTAGAGACTTTCTTGTGCTCAGATTCTGAGAATGCTATTTCATTTGTGCGTTTTTTGTTGTACGATAAATATGTACACAATAGAGAAGTCCTCGTATCTCTCTATCCCATAGCCAACCAACAAACTTGAAAAATTTGTCGTATGACAAAAACGCACAAATGAAATGAAATATACCCTAACACCATTACATCCTTGTGAATTATTACATCCTTGTTGTTTGCCAATATTAAACAAAGATGAAATGATCACTGTGTACCTTGCTGGAAAGCTCCGTGTATTGATAAAGTGCAAACGTTTGTCAGTTCCTTCAAGTGAACTACGTGTGATCGTAACTAGATATAGCTTATCATTTCGATAGAGATGTAATATGTATCAATTTCATCAAATAAATCTCAACCATAGTATTATTTGTATAATAAATTTAAGTGTGCACTTAAAATATTTATACATAATTCAATTGAATATATAATATTTGTATGTAATTTTATTGAAATATGCAGAATTGATACTGAAAAAAAAACAGATAATTATTATATTATGCGCACAATCTAGTAAATTTGATTACCCTTGAGACCTCTAAACGCAATTCTTGATTTAAAAGAATAATATTGAAGTACTATTGCGCATGGAAAGTTTATCATTGAACATAATAATAATCGGCCACAATTATATGCACGAAACGCATTATGGCACTAAGTGCGTTCTATTTCATGTTCTTTGTTTCATGTACTGCAAAAATTTATGTTCTTCGGAAATGACGTGCGTGGCAGATATCGAATATCATTGGGTAGTGAGCGTAATTAACTGCTCATTTCCGGTGTTCGTCCTTTCCTTGATGGAGTTTGTTTCTAAGACGTAATTTGCAACGGATGGAGTAAACTACAATATTCCGGTGGGTAAGCAAAATTAATTATGCATTATTTAAATATGTACAGAATCGTAATAATATGTATACTGCCCTTATAGCGATTATTTGTTTTAACACAGAAAAACATGTTTAGTTGAATTAATTAGAATTCATGTGGAAAATGAACGCTCTAGAATTCTAGTTAAATTTACACGATTTTTTAGAAGTTAAATCTATTACAATTCTAATTGAAATAACCAACATTTAGATTTAATTAGAAATCTAATAGATTTAACAAAAATTTTAGATCATTCATTTTCCACTGGAATTCTAGTTAATCAGCTTCAACTAAACATTTTTTTCCATGAAGTATTTATCAAAGAATTTATATATTATACATTATATATATTTATATATTATAGAAGAAGAGAATTTTTAATTTAAGAAAATTTTATTAAAATATTGCTATAATGGAGAAAGATGATATTAATAATGTCAATAATAATCATGGATTTTACAATTTGTAAAACATTTCTTGTTTTTTCTGATTTCCATTTTGATTTTATTTTTACCTATTCTCTTTCTTTGCAGTTCTTATTTAATTATTTATAAGTATTTGCAATTGAGAGTTTAAATGATGGTGAAATTTATGTATAAGTTAGAATTGTGAAAATATTAAGAAGTCGTGCGTTTAAAAAGCAAGTTTATAAATAATTTATTAATTAAGTGAATATAATCATTTTCGATAACAATGGTTAATAACTATGAATATTAGAAATAAAAATAACTAATTATTTAAAACAAGAAAATAAATAAAAATATTATACATATATAAGAAATATAAAAATAGTGCACGTTTATTAAATTTTATTGTTTCTTTACATAGCGACCACTGGAGGGTATTCCAGTGTATGGGTGACAACTTGATCGACTTCATTGTTTAACAATATCAATTTGGCTGACAAACACCGTTAAAATGTGAACAACTCTTCACGCGCGCGTTCAAGGTAAGTTCTTAGAAATTATTATGAAGGCTACCCAGTTTAGAAAAATGGAACATTTCTAATGCAGTATTGTCACACTTTACTGATGCTAATGAATTATATTAAATTTTGCTAATGAACTATATTAAATTTATGAATATTACGTTCATTATTTGAAATACAAGTTGCAGCGAATAATTCATATTGTTAATACCATTAAAATAAATTATTATTATCATAGTTATAAAGAGATGAAATTGATAAATATGTTTATATCGAATATTTTAATATATATTACATATAATAATTTTATTATTTAATTAATATTTACATGCAAAATAGCAGTATAGCTCTAATTGTTTCGTTTAGAGAGGTTTTCAATAGTATTTTA